AAATGTGTACAATTCTTCAGGTCCTCACTATTGTTTTTATAAAAATATCAGAATGCTAGGGAAACGTCATGATATAATCAGTAAGTCAGCGTTTTACATCCTGTAACAAACGAATATTTGAAATTTTGTAAAACATCTAAGATAAATTAGATGTTATTTTTAAAAAGTATAAATTTTTTATTTTAGTCTTAAAAATGAGAAATTTGTGCAATTCTTCAGACGCGTTTGCAAGGTAAAAATATCATTTCAATAGCGCAGTTTTAAATACGTGAAATATTTTTGAGACTGGCTCCTCACTATTATTTTTTCCAGAATACCAGGCTGCTAGGCAAACGTCATGATAGAATCAGTTAGTCAGCGTTCTACAACATGTAAAAAATGAATGTTTGAAATTTTGCAAAATGTCTCAGATATAGAACACAAAAAGATAATGCCACAAGTTCTCCTCTAGGGAGATACAGAGCCATAAAGATCGCTACTTGATGTCGGTTCTTGTCAAATAAAAGCAAATCATTTAGATCGCTCGGAATTGGCTAACCCCAACACAATGCATCCAAAAATTAATACACCTTATATGATAAAGGTCCACGGTAACATTTTTGGAAAGCCTTATCTTTGATATGAAAAAGGTGTTTGATATCGAAGGGATAGAGCGTTGTTGGCAAAGACCCAGTTGAATTAATTTTCAGTATAGTTATATTAATTTTGACATTATATCCAGTATACTGGTCACGCCATTTTGCAAATATAGTAATTCTGCTAACAGATTCATAATTAGAGGCAGAGAGGCACCAGGATATACACTTTTAGATCACTTGATTGAGTTTTAGATTCGACTTTTTCAAAATCGAACATAAACGGAAATGCATTCTTTCAGCTAACGCATTAGGCATTTTCAAAATAGTATTTGGGCCCTTACTATACGGGATGTAAAAATTGTTCGCAATATTGCACTGGGGCTAGTGCATCCCTGGTGTTTTAAGTGAGTCAATTGTTTTCCGTGAACACCGCCAAATCAAACTCCAATTGTTTACTATGCTGTAAAAAATTTCGATGAGTGATACATTGTCGTTCAAAAGATACCCAAGAAAAACCGATTTCCAGTAACCCAAGGTTTTACTTTCTCAAAAATTTCTTATTTTAATTAATTTTATACAGAATATATAAAAATACTGATACCTACTATAGATGATTTTTCAAAGAGTGATGTGTAACCTTGGCGGCATAAGGAGTTTCGAAGACTCGCGTTGATTACTTGTGCATCCACACGCGGCTTATAAGTATCCCTACACGATGACGAGTATGGTTCATAAAAGGAGACCAAGATATGCTCCACCCCTTACAACACTTGTTCAAAAAGTTTTTCGGAAAATGAGCAGGAGACACTCGAACGAACGATTTTTATTTTCGTTTATTGTTTATAGCTTGGCCGCCAATGGATCGATTTTCAAAACCTACGGTTTTTCGTTTTTGGCATATCAGTAAGCTTGTGCCAAAATTTCATCAATGCTTTCTGAGTTATACAGGGGCCAATGATTAGCGGACAGACAGACAGTCCGACGAAAATGGGTGACAAGGTTTTTCATTATGTACATGTCATATGACATAAAAAAACAGAATATCTCAATTTCGTAATTTGGCAAAACATAAAATCTATTCAAACATATTCATGAGTATACAGGATGTCGCATCGGCAACTCCATCGATAGATTTCTCAAAAAGTAGGCATCTGATATTTTTGAAAATTTGAGAGCATGGTAATGTCGATGGGACAACGTCAGCTAAAATATCGTCAAACTGGTGGCACTTCCGGTTATACCGGAAGTTGATGCCAACTTGCTTATTTTGAAATGGTATATTACTTAATATTCGGATTCCACATAAAATTCTAATCACATTTTATGTAATCTATTATACTCAAGTCTAACCAACCGTTTTTGAAATATTTCAAATTTTATGTCAAAAAAGACGTTTGCAGGCCATAAAATAATTGTTTATTTCCCCTTTGTACAACACCTTAATGTTTAATTTGGATTGATTTTCTGATAAACAGGGATATAGTTTAATAGACTTTGGATGATATTTCGATAATTATTTATATAGGGTGGTCAAAAAATTAATATAAAAATTCAGTGTCAAAAATTGCCAAAAGTCGATTTTTTCGAATGAAAACATTCTTATAAGTTTATCGCATCCAGCATTAAAAATTAGCATAACTTTATAAGGGGCTATCTATTCCAAGAATGTATACTTTTCGAGTAATTTGCAATTTATTACTTTACTATTGTAAAACTCCTGTAAGTACAGATTTAGTTTTTTAATTAGTTGGTTATGACGGCGGGACGCAGATAATAAACAATTGAGCATTACGGAAATATCACTACGTCTAAGTTTAAGCTTTTATTAGTATAATTAATAATTTTTATAAACAATAAGGTATTTTGATTTATATTTGAATTTCATACTATTATAAAACGAAATCAAAACATAACAAGCAAGAAATTATTTTGGTAAATGTTCAAAAGGACCACCTCCAACCTTCAAATAAGCAAACACATCACATGCTCTTGACATCACTCTGTTGCATTCACTTTAAATAGTAAATAAATTGAAATAGTATTCGTAAGTAAAATTAAAACGCGCGGCCATGATTATTAAAAATAATACATAAACTGTCAAATGAAGGACATTATCATAAAGTGACGTTTTTGTAGATCGCAATTGTTTGTTCTCCGCATACCGCCGTCATAGTCAACTAATTAAAAAACTAAATCTGTACTTATAGGAGTTTTACAATAGAAAAGTAATAAATTGCGAATTACTGGAAAAATAACATTTATGGAATAGAAAACCCTGTATAAAATTACGCTAAATTTGAATGCTGGATGCGATGAACTTATAAAAATAGGGGGTTTTCATTCGAAAAAATCGACTTTTGGAAATTTTTGACATTCTGATTTCTAATTTTTTGACCACCCTGTATAATAATTATCGAAATATCATACAAAGTCTATTAAACTATGTTTATCAGAAAATCAATCCAAATTAAACAATAAGGTGTTCTACATAGGGGAAATGAACAATTATTTTAGGGCCTGGAAACGTCATTTTTGACATAAAATTTGAAATATTTCAAAAACGGTTAGACTTGAGTATAAGAGATTATACATAAAATATGATTAGAATTTTATGTAGAATCCGAATATTAAGTAATATGCAGGGTGTCCATTTCCAAATAGGAGTTGGCATCAACTTCCGGTATAACTGGAAGGGCCACCATCTTGAAAATATTTTAGCTGCCGTTGCTCCATCGACGTTAGTATACTCCCAAATTTCCAAAAATATCATATGCCTACTTTTCGAGAAATCTATCGATGGTGTTCCCGATGCGACATCCTGTAGAAAACCTTCACTTACCTATGATATAGGTATAACAATTCATCAATTTTCCAGTCTTACTCCTTATTTCGTTGCTTTTGTTTCTCCACCCTTCTTCAACCTGAGACCTGCAGTATTAGTAGTTTTGTACGATAAAAAGGCTGTTGACAATTTTATGCCTATTCTCACTTATTTGCTCTTGAGCCCAATCGCCCAGTAACTTCGCAGAAACTAATCGACTCTATTCCAAGTAAGATACGTAAGATGCGTTTGCAAAATTAATTTTTATATTTTAGATAAACATTAATCTTAGAAACATACCATTTCCAAAGAAACACTATGAAGAGCTCCAATCTATCTGGGCAAGTTCACATATTTCCAGAATAGAATCAAAGTACTAATAAATAATACGTCATATTTGAATGCATTTTCAACTCAAAATCAATCTTAAAACACACAATCCAAAGAAGCCGTATAAGGAGCTTCGGTCTATCTGCGCAAGTTGACATATTTCCAGATTAGGATAGAAGGACTAATAATAAATCATATTTGAATACATTTTATGACTATTTGTTGTAAGGCCCAAGCTAGACAGTCGACAGTTGGTGTTTCACTTTGCGTGCATCAAAACTCAAATGTATGTTTATCCCAAGGGATCAGAATAAGAATTTTTATTACAATAAGAGACAACGTCAGAACTAGGTGTCTTTGCAGCAGCATATGCGGCCTTAGGAATTCTCGACGGAAGGAGGAGGGCCATCCATCGACAAGAGGTAACTTTTGTGTGAAAGCAATACTACGTCCAAAACTTTCTGAAGCGCGAGGAAGAGCATATTTTCTCAGGTAGCCAACTTCTAAAGAGCTCCAAAATTGTACCAAAAAGAGAAAGTAAAGTATGCAAATCTTAATTGTATTAGTCTGTTTGAATAACTTGATCCGCTTAATGTTTTTGTTCTACGTGTCCGTAGTTAACTTTTATCTCGGAGGGGCCAGCTTGTGCAGAACATAATACTTTACGAACTCTTGAGAAAGTTGCGTAGACAGTGCAGAGTCAACCTACTTGACGCCATTTTTTCAGAATTGCACTTGTTCATATTGTACTTTGTGCCGCAACGACGTGCCGGCAATGCAAACCTTCTGCAACATGTTGCGGCTCAAGCATTGACGACAAACATACGTCAAAATGTTTGTGCTTCAACACGCTGCAGACTGTTCACATTTCTGCGGATCTGAGCATGCTCCTGGCACAGTTTCTCTGACAATTGAGATGCTCGTCTGAATCAAAAGAAATAGTGTTCTGTGATATGAAATGAAAAAATCAAGCCGATGCTATAGTTGTCAAAGGACCAAAGAAGCCATCAGAGTAGGATCAATAATTTTCATAATTTTATTATTATATACTACGTATATATTAAACATGCACACTGTATATGTACTTACTACGGAAAGCGTGATTACTCAGTACTTTTCAAAAAAGTCCCTCTGCTTTACACTTCTTTCAATAACTTTGCTGCTTTTTCTCATTCTTATTCAATCATCATTTTAGTTCCTCATCATTTTTTTTTCGGAAAAGTGATCCTTATTTATGACCCTCACAGTGAGCCATGCCGATCTGCCGTTCGCTTTGCAAGCACCAATCTGAACTGAAATAAGATGTTATTACTATTTTGGATATTATACTCGTATGACATTTACGTCACGAAAAACAATTTCTTTCATTTCGTTGGTCTGTCTGTCCGCTAATCCTATAACAGTCTATAACCTGAGAAGTACCGCCCGGTTTTCAAAAAAAATTGTAGACAATGTTGCTGCAATGCCAAGTACGCAAAGTTTAGTTTTTGAGAATTGAAAAAATATCGCTCAAACATTGTTTTTTCACGTTTCAGACGAACAAACTGGCAACAAACAGTGTGTTTGTTTCTAAGGCTGTTTCCATTTTCAGTTCGTTTCTTACACAAATATCGACAGTGTACTGAATTGTACATCTAATTGCATCCTGTTTCCATCCTGAAGTCGGTGCAACTTTTAACGATGTTAACGATTTTCATTTCGGAGACTGTGTGATTAAGATTTTGATATCCATAAGTTGTATCAAGAAGTTGTAACTGTTCGTACATCCAGTGACAATATTCTCAGGACACAGATCACCGACAATGTATATTCTAATATTCTACTACTTCCTCAGCTATAGTCTCTGTGCCTCACAGATTGTAGCACATAAAAGTGATTTCTACAATTCCAAGGACGTAAGGGCTTTATCGTTTTTGGAAATCGGGCAAGTGGCCATGGAGGAAGAGACCTAAACCAAAAAAAAGTAAAAATCATTCAAACATTGTTTTTTCGCGTTTCAGACGAACAAACTTACAACAAACAGTTTTTTTTTATATTCCAACTACCACGAAGGCCTAAGGCCTAAACACCCATTGGGTACCGTGGGGCTATAGGGGGATACAGGGGAAAGGGGGAACGCCACACGGACTCTGGCGAGGGAACACGTGTGCATGCATCATGCACACATTCTGGCTCCGCCTACGAGATCCGCCGGGTGGTACCTCCACGTTCGACAGTCAGAGACCGTCTACCACCTACGGTTTGTGGGACTGTTCACTTATAACGCCGTTTCCATTTTCATTTCGTTTCTCACACAAATGTTTACAGTGGACTAAAATTATGCATCTAGTTGCAACCTGTATACCTAAAATTGTAAGCACAGTTGAAATTCTCTGAATGCCGGCAATCTATGACACTATATGTATGGATTCTTCTAACGATGTTTTCGTTTTTCAGTTCGGAGACTATGTCTCTAAAATATTGATATACACAAGTTACAACTGAAATCATACATCGAGATACAACCTCTTTACAAAAATTGAAGAGCCTAAACATTCATGTTTGTATAACAACGATAAAATATTACAAAAATCGTACCTTTCCGGTATTTTCTCTTCTATCGTTGCGTACACTTCCCAACTTAAATACTGTGGCTGACAGATTGTGGTGCACAGAATGTGCAACTAAAATTATCGATACACTAGACTGTGTGCCAGTCAGACTGGATATCATAAGCTGGTGTGACAATCGTTGTCCAGACAAGCAATCCTCTAATAGTTCGATACCGTCATTCCATTTCTTTGGTTCGAAGAGTGTGTCTCAAGAAGTATGTTACCAAGAAGCTGTAACTGGTCATCCAGTGACAGGATTCTCAGTATCAAAAATAGTGAGATAAATCAGATACATGTCAATGCATATTCTAATACTTCCTCATCTGTAGTTATATCCGTCTCTGTGCCTCACAAACTGTGGCACACAAAAGTGGCATCTAAAAAACTAAAATTATTCATAAAGTTGCACCACTCAGTGCACCAAAACTCGGTAAGACCACATACCGACTAACGTTGTCCAGAAAAAGTTGTTCTCATCCTTCATTTCGGTGCAGGTAGTCTTATACCGGTGAATTTGAATATTCCTGTGTTAAAATGATAATGGATTACTAAAGACACAACGTTTTGATATTTTCTCTTTTATCGTTACTTTCATTTTTTATTTCAGAGACTGCGTCTCAGAGATTGTTGTACACAGAAGGTGCAACTTAACAGCCGGTGTACACGGACGTATTTTGACGAAGCGGTAACGCAACGTCGACGTTGCATCGACGCAGACAGTGTTTTTGAGAAAAGTTCACACGAGCCTACAATAACGCATGCAGTTCTCTCGACGCGACAGAAGTAGCAAGATGGATCTTGAGCATGAACAATGTGATTTATTTGCATATTACGTATATAAGTATCATATTTGTAAAAAGAAAAAAAACATAGGTACACCCTTATGTGATTGCCCGTTCATTAAAGGGAGCATTTGTTCGTGATTTTTCGGACCTGAGAAACCACGTGGAAAAGTTTTTCAATTATTTTAGAATGAGTTCTAAATCGTTTGATGAATTACAATTACATGATGCATCCTCACTTCTTTAATCAATATTTCAGTATTTATATCAACGTCCGTCATTTTCGTTGGAACGTCGAAATGTCGTTGCGCCGAAACAAGTCACCGCACGTCGGGAACATTGGACGTCCTGTGCTTGAAAGTCTGCGAGACTGTGTTTCGGCGACGCAGAATTACCAAAGGTACATACTTTTTCGATATTTTCTTGTCTATCTTATCTATATTTTTCGTTTCGGTGACTGCATTTTACAAGTTCCGGTGCACAGAAGCTGCAGCTCAACTCGTTTATCAGAAACTTATACAAAAATCTGTACATCAAAACATATTAGACCGAACATGCAAGATTTCCTGAGAAACAGATATCAATTTTATCTTTTCTATTCCTATCTATATTTTTCAATTCGGACTGAATCTTACACATTGTAGAGTACGTAAACTACCAATCAAGTCACTTCTCAATATAAGTTATGGTATTTTGTAACCCAGAATCGGTCAGACTGAACATGAAACAGACCTATTTTTTCTCTTCTATCGGTATAATACATTTCTCGATTCGCAGACTGTCTCACAAATTCTCGTCCCCAGAAAGTGCAACTTAAATGAAATTCGGTAATACTGTATTGATTGTCGTTTATACTACGAGTATAAGTCTTTACAGTGGGTCCGTTTTGTCAAAAAATGATCTGTCAACTATGACATGAAAAATGACAAATACCAGTTTTAATAGTTTGAAGGGGATCAGCTACCAAATTATGTCAGTGATTCTCCAAAAGCATTAACAGCTATGTAATTATTATACATACTTACAATATTATGCATAATTGTATTAGCTTGTTTAGATAGTTACAGAAACTGACAGAGAAGGTTATACTGACAACGAAAGTAGTCACGAAGATAATGAAGATATCGATGAAATCTATATCCAAAACTTTTTTTTTAATCTGCAATGTAATAATATTAGTTATTATATTAAAATATAGTTATGCACATAATAGAACTATTTTTTTATTAGATTTCTTACTATAAACAGTACTGTCAATGGCGGACTCTGAGGAGGACGAGTTTTCCCTCCTAAACCCCCAAGCCTGCCACCCTTCCCAGGGGGGATGAATATCTTCGAGAATATGAATGCTATGACCACTACTGCGACCCCCTCACTTGTACAGATCCCAAAAAATGCTCTTCCCTCGCTGATTTCCTCCAATACTAAACAACCGAACTTTTCAAAAAAGTTAAGGTGAAAATACGATGACGTACTATACGTTTTTGAAATCACAATTAAAAACCCTATTTATCTGTGCAAGAAGCCAATATGGAGTACATAAGAAAAAATAAAGTTGATGGTAGAGGACAAGAGACGAAACGTCATATTAAAGTTCTAATTATGCCATCTTGTAGAGGAAGGAAAGTTTCAATGTTAATGTGCAATGCATTTTGAGACTCGACTACGATTGAAGTCAGGAAAAAAACCAAACGATTTTGACAACATTCGTTGTTTTCCATCTCTCTCCGGCAGTACCTTGAATTTCGAAACATTCTAAGTGCAATTTTGTTAACCACCTAAATATGCAGTTTCCGAGATCCCAATGGTGAAGGTACACTTTGAAACACCCTGTATATAAAAGCGATAATATACATATCAATCACGAAATAATGGAAACTATTTAACCTACAAACATCAATATTGACAGAGAGGCAGCTTATTAAAAAATTAAAGAGCACTTGCAAGTTTGCTTGAAATTGCTTGGAGTCTCTTTTTATATCTAAAAATTGGCAACGATGAAGTGCTGTTTAGAGTAGACTTATACTAAGACGGGATCGAGTAACAGCTGGTCTGAAATAACATGAAAAATGCATCACTCATCCAAATCACGTCGGCCGTTGCGAATTTTGCCACTGCAAGCAAGTCACTTATCAGTTGTTTCTCCAACGAAGCTCGAACTGCAAATTGTTTACATGTCGGTTAAACATCATCTTTAAAAAGAAATAGCAAAACGGGATAAATGATACTGCAGAAATCACACGGGAAAGTCTGAATTTCAGGTTTATAAAACTTGAGTGCCGGTGGTGGCGGGCTTAAAGTAGATAAAACGTACAAAATATACAAACCTTCACTTTCCAATTAGACAACATTTTGAATTCCTTCTAAAACTCCGAAGTGGCGGTCCCCAAAAAATATTGAAAGGAATATCATTTTACCATTGAAAATATGGCGTCAAGTAAGTTGACTTTGTACTTCTCACGCTACGCTGTTCGTAAAGGATTACGTTTGGCACAAGTTGGCCCTTCTGAGAAAAAAGTTACCTAGCTCCCCCAATGCCTGCAGCCAGAAGTTGTCAATTTTCAGCATCTACTAAAATTTTTTCGAAAATGATGAGTATCGTTCGAAACGACAAAAACAAAGTTTGAGTGATTTTTCTTGTTTTTTGCATTTTTCTCCGCCGCCTCTGAAGAACATGGGAAGTGAAAACCCTCAATTTTGAAAGCTTGTCATGCAATTTTTAACTGTCACTTTCACACGAATATATAGTGTTATTAATGAATCAATTTCATTGTCCCAAATTTCAGAGTACTAGGTAAATCGTTCAAAACATAAGTAGGGGGCGGCTTTATGAATAGCACTGAATATTTAAACAACCTTGACATGGTTTCTTGACCTTCCAAGCATCTGGCACACAGTTTGGCATTATCACAAT